TACGGTGCCACACACACAGAAGAAAGAATAAATGCTTCTGGTCTCGCTGCTTCAAAGTAGACTCTGGTGTAAAAGTAAAATCCCTTATGCTCTTTGGGGCCACTGTAGCAATAGGAATTGAATACAGCAGGCTTATTGCCAGGCTTACAAGTGTGTGATGCGTTATTTCCTAAGAGCATCTTCTTGCTCTGCATGCCCAGCAGAGACACGCCATGCAGACTGCTAACACAGCACTGCTTGGTCCAGAATTAATTAACCCACTGAGCTCATTTGGGCTGAAGAGTCCCACGCTGGCAGGAGGGGGCCTGGCCTGGCCAGAGCTGGTGTGTTGCTAACAACAGGCTTGCTGATTTTTGCAGAAGGACCTACCTGCCTTAAACTTGAAAAGGCCAAAGGGCAGCTGGGATTAACTAAAAATTAAGGGTGACAGCATCTCAACTCCTCCTTGTAGAGAAAGTATTACAATACCATCCTAATAATCTAGTGGTTCAAAAAGGCAATTAAAGTTTAACGGCCTGGTGCAAGCAACTTGCTTAACTGATATCAGTCTGCTACTAAACAGGATTATGAGGATCACCTACAAACAGGTGATGTAATACCTTCCAGTGTGTTTTCCATACTAAACTAATTTCACATCAGCACTGGGAAATCCCTCTTTTCAGCATCACTAATAGCAATTCACACAGCTGGTGGCAAAAATACACTAAAGACTCACTCATAACTGTTGATGCAAAGCCACAACTTTCACTTTCTTTATCACATACCAGTTGGTAAAATGTATTTTGAAGCCGTATGACCACTTCTGCTCCCCACCCCCATGTGTAGAAGAACCAGGTTGGTGGACAGGAAGACAGATAAAGGGTTTTGATGTAGACAAACTAATTTCATTAAAGTTAGTGGAGATATTAGTAACTAAACATTTTCTTCTAAAGGATTTGTGAAGTATTGCTTGTTTAAATAAGAGAATGAAGGTAGGCTCAAGCCCTTGAAAATAAGAAAAAATATGACAATAGGAAAGATTAATATAATTTCATGGTACAGAAAAAAAGATTATTACTTGTATGCGACTATATCTCCCCAGACGCCTAGGTTCCCAAATCCAGAGGAAATTATTTTTAAAAAATATAGTTAGACCAGTATCTGTCAGAAGTTGTTCCAACATCCTGTCTTGGAATATACAACATGGATTTTAACAGGTGGCATCCACTCAGGGCCTATCCTGGCATGTTTTTCTTAGCTGAATTTTTTCCCTATATAATTTTTTTCCCACATAACTTAGGTTTTTTTGGGGGGAAAATAATATATTTTTAAATACATTGGTTTGACTTCAAGGATTTAGCTGTGTTATTAACTTTTTTCTTGTCAAGATCAATTATAGCTGTAGAAGACAGACAAACTAAAAGGAATGCTGGTAGATCCTAGAAGAACCCAACAATGTGTAAGACTCACGCTCAGTTTCACGGCCTCAGAATTCAAATGAGGGCACTGAGCAAAATGTTTCCCTGCCTGAAGGGAAAGGGAAAGGTATTGTAAGGTAAGGCATGGCAAGGCAAATAATGGAGACCATAATGCAAATACAAAGGATCTGTGTGACGTTAGTGGCTAACCCACAAAAGAAGAAGAAAAAAAACCAAACTGTTATTTGTATCCAAAGAGTAAGAAACTGACTCTTTTCAGTTATAAAACAGAAAAATTCCAGGATATGTATAAGGAAAATAACTTGATAGAACACATTAGCGTTGACTCTTGAAAACTGAGTAAGAATATCTGGAGTAAGTTGAGTGACTTGATTTGGAATAAAGACCATAACCTATAGGGTATTTCCTTTTTATGTCTGCTGTCTAAGGCACCTGGAAGGCTCCCTGCCTGTCAAAAGCGGGTTACTTTTAGTTTACCACACTGCAGTCTAGGGCATTAAAGGCACAATTATGGAAATTGATGTTTTGGAAAGAAGAGAATTTGAAAACTATGGAAACTGGTCTCAAAGATTACTGAAATATTAAGCTGAGGATGAATGTTATTGCTAAGTGGAACTGGGAAGCCATTTTACATAATACAACTTCCTATGTTTTAATTAACTGAAGAGGTGCTCCCTATATTCTTTCTTTTACATATGCTATAAGTGACTAAACAAAAATCCACCACTAAAATTTTCAAGAGTAAAAGAAGCTACAAATAAAGACAGTGAAATATGCAACAGAACTTAAAGTAAATCATGGTTTTTTTTTTATTTTTAATGACTGCCACAACCATTCGGAGCTAGCAATAGCACTGAATCTGGAGGAAGGGATTATATCCTCCTTATCAGTACAGAATAAGTATGTTGGAGCAGATGGCCTCTTCTTTCATTTTTATCTTCTAATGCATTCATGTTATAACTCAGATCAATTTTTAATTTTCAGGTCACTTGAAAATGCATCAAGTAATGGTGATCTGGCTCATTCATGACCATTAATTGTAACTGCCGCATTCATCTTGAAAGTTTCCTGTTGTTTTTTGTTGTGCTAGATAGTAAGGTAGTCAAACACATGCTTCCTGTCAAATCAAACCTAAGGCAGGAAGGAGACGAAAGCACAAGTATTAGGTTGCTGGGATCATATCAGCCTTTGAGCCTGGTTAGTGATACAAAATACTTGGTTACCATAATTATTATCAGTAAACCAAGGAAATTGTAATTATTAGGGCCGCTCAAAATGCTTATGTGTAAGTGGGGACTGAGCTACAGCAGCACCTTCGATGCACTGAGCCCTTTGGGAAAATTCTGCTAAGGAAAACTGAAAGACAAGGCAGGGAATTTTGAATAGCACAGGTGTTACTTCAGCAGCTATTTGGTAGGCAGAATGGAAACCGGTTTTTTTTCTGGCTGCCCAAATGATGATGAGGTCACCATGCGAGGTGTGAGCTGGGAGCATGCAGCAGGGACTGGAAAAAGCAGGTATGCTGAGTGTCCTGGGCAACACCGTAGCTGAACCCACCACCACAGCTCCCATTTTAACTTCTCTATCCTCCGTCCAGCTTCAACCCTGCTGCAGGTCCGGTGTGTTGCCTTCTTCCCCAGAGGGATGATCAGAGTAAACCAGCAGTTTTCTTGTATTAGAGCACCAGTGTATTCTGAATTAACATTGATGTTATCATTAAGCTTTTGATTTTTAGCTTTTCCTGACAAGAGCCCAGCATCTTCAGCACGGCATCAAGATTAGGTTGTTGCTGCAGTATCAGTTTCTCTTTCATGTTCACTCAAGCCAGTACCACGTTTGCACTCCAGTCCTCTAAACAGCCAGTAGAAAATTGAGACGTTATGAATAAATGCTGATGTTGGTAAGGGATGTAATCTAGGTTTCATTTGAGTTTTGTTGGTGCCACAAAGTTGCTTAATTGTAGGATGATGATTATTTAAGCGAAGTTGCTTGGCAGATTCACTGAAATACTAATGTAAGTTAGATTGCTTTCTCTACCTATTACAGCTGGCTATTGTATCTTTTCTGTATGCATTGTTACAGTACTTTTAATTAATCTATTAATTTCATTTGGCACATTCGGTACTTGTTCCACAGATTAAGAGTTCTTTTAATGAAACTGCCTTTCTAGACCATTTAAAATCGACTGTATCAGGGTGTCGCTTCTACAAGTCAGTTTTAGGGAGTTGGGGTTTTTTGTGATAAATTTTCTCCAGAAAAATGAGCAACGCCGCCTTCTCTTATGGAGAATGTATGCTAAACAGCAGCATTCTCCTATTTTTCCTTCAGTACAGACCAGAATATATAGTAGACGTGCATGGAATCTCTATTGACTCTATCCAAACAGTAACATTTGGAGCACCTAGTCCAGTAGCATCCTCACTATCTACAGTAGCAGTATCATTCACAGCAGAGATACAGCCACCCATTGCATCATACAGACGAGCAGGGACAAAGCAGGCTGGAATAGGTAGGTAACGGGGTTGGTGCTCCAGCTGCCCAGCAGATTTCAAGCAACCGAGTCAACAGTGCATCCTGTGCAGAGAGCTTCATTATCACTTTTTCCATCTATATGAACTAGCACATCTGGTCTTACAGAAGCGACTCATGTAGCTTGTCTTTAGGTGGAAATTCTTAAAATCAAATACCTTCCTTTCTGCTAAAATAGCACATGACTTTCTGGAATTCCCCAGAATTATATGCAGTGAAGTTACACCTTGTTGTAGCTTGTGGTACAGCACAACTGTCTTCAAGAGCATTTTTGTAGAAAAGCCAAAGGGTGGGGAAGACAGGGTATTTCCCTCCACTGCCCCAGCTCGTAGGCTTTAATTACCTGATTATGCATCATGTGAGAGTCTCTGAAGGCTCCCTAAACAGCTTTCAGGTGGTTTTGAAGGCAGAGGTTGGCAAGAATAGGCCCTATTTCAGATTAAATCGCTTGCCTCCCTCGCCATTTGCATGATCAACGGTAAGCAGTTCATTATGTTAATGTCTAAATTTTGGGGCATGCCTTAGGAGAAACTTCATGACAAACTACCTTTGTAAGAAATACCTGCTGCCATTACAGCAACAGTTCAAGAAACAAAGAATTTAGTCTAGTTTGCCATTTGCCAGTGCCTGTAATAAATTCCACTGTCATCTCAGGAGTAAGATAAGAGACCTGGCAGTAACTACGCCTGAAAAACCTCAACTGATATGGAAAGAAGTATCATCCTTCAGAGTGTCCTGTTTTCTCATCACCATGCTTCTGTGGCACACTGCAGCACCTCAACTAAGCAGGGACCTAACCTGGAGCAAAACACGTTCAGATTTCCTTCTTTCCCTTCCACCAAAAGAAGCAAATAAATAAAAATCAGCTGCACCAGCTAAACATAAACAAACTTAGACACACGAATGAATGGACACACAGAGGAAAGGTAGCACTTGGCTCAGCTGCAGCTTCAGTTGTGTATAGCAACCTACAGTAAAAACATTTTAAGTCTTCATCATTAGGATTTTTTGCTAGTGCTTTTAGAAGGACTTCAATTGTAGGAAGAGGCAATATCATTTAGAAAAATAATTTTATTTTTGCATACTCAATGTTAAAATAATCTGGAATGCAAGTTGAGCTTGACCAAAAGCAGAAACCAGCAGTTCCACTGGTGACATACGGACACCACTGCAGTTCTTTGAAAGTTTTGACAAACTTGAGTCATTTTGGATATAAAGGCAAGACTCCTGACACACTAAAAACTGTAAAGTTACACATCTACCTCTCTTTAGGCACAAAACTGAAGTTTCCCTGAGAAGATGTAATTACAAACTAGTGTATAAACTTTATATCACATTATGAGGGGAGTTTAAGAGTACAAAAGCAAGATTTGACTACCAAATTTAAACACAAGTCCTTAATACTCTACGCTGAAGATGAAATTTTCAGAAGGATTAAGAATTACACATTACAGAACTACAGCAATCAGATTTAAGTTCAATGATGACAGCTGGCTTTGGTACATTCCCTTTTGTATAGTCTTCAGATCAATTCTAATGTTAGTTTCCTGAGATCTTTCTGTACTCAGTATGAAGTCTGTGCAGTCCAGCTGCTTTTTTCCCTTTTTTTCCTCCCCGTTTCACCTTTCCCTTCCAGCTAGCGTTATGTTCATGGGAAAAAAATGAGGAGTAACCATGAACAATATGCATTTTCCAAGCCTTAAAACAAATAGTTTAGCAAAACTACTGCAATTAACTACACCCTTCAGATAATAAATATTGAAAATAGTTAGCCTTCCAAAAATTGCTGTCTTCAATTTCGTCCCCAAATTTTCAGGCCCCAGTGTGCAAGACAAGAAATCCCCATATCCACTTGATACATGTGTTCTCTCCCCCTTGCCCATGGACAAGGCGGGGTGGGTGTCTTCACCACCACACCAACGTGATGAGAAATGTTATACCCATAATCAGCATGGAGCATGCAGTATTCCAGTTCTTTCACAGATACAAAGCTTTGTGTCGCAAATGCTCTTCCAAACATTTCACTGCAAAAGGGTCAACATCAGTGTCAAACTTATTAGCAAAGAAGTGGTGGTTTCGTAGGATCCAGTTCAGGTCTCCTGCCCCAAAAACACAGACAGAGCGAACATGAACTCCACTGCATGGTGGGTAGGGTGCACCTTTCAATACGTCACCTTCAAAGTACTGCCACTTGACAAACCTGGCCACTGCATTCATGTCAGAAACGTCATACTTGCCACTAGAAGAAACTGCACCCGGGACTTCAGGGATTCTCTGAATTGTTGCCCACAGGTACTCATCTGGGCTGTATGTATCTTTCGCCCACTCAATGAACTTAAGTATTTTGCTGCTTTCTAATACATATTCTACAAATCTTCTACTAACTACGAAATAGGCACTTCCGGAAAAAATTGGAGTACTGAGAGGTGGCGGTTCTTTGTCTACGCCTGTGTTCTTTATTCTACCATCAATAATCTCATGGTGTTTTTTCCACCTAACTTCTTTATAAATGGGCATTTTTTCTGTTTCCAAGCTGTTTTCACCTTTGAGGGCTTTTAATTTCTCTACTATTTCCTGGTTGGTCTTTATAGGAAAGTCCATGCCACAGAGGTTTATTAGGTATTTCCAGTTTGAACTTCTTCTGTAGAGATCTTTCATGCAGTTAATGTCTGCCTGCACCCTGCTCCATGAAGCATATACAACACTCTCTAACTGGCTGGAAATAAAGACATTATCAAAACATGAGACTATTCCCTTCACAGCAGCAAAAAAGGATTCTGGAGACTTTTTGTCAACATGAATGCAGTAAAAATTCTGAGGGGCATAGATTGATCTTAGAAGTCGATCAAGCATCTCAATTTTGTGATAAACTACTATTGAGTAAGCAATTGGAAATTCTGCTTCTTCAGTGCTGAGAGGTTCCATAATGTATTTCCTAGTCTTGGTGAAGGAGGCACAGTCTGCTGTCATGTTAATATAATCATTTGTTGTTAGTCTGTGGCGTTTCTTAAATGACGTTAGCAACATCGCAAGCTTTACTTTTTGAATTTCTTCTATATCCCCTTCTATAATCTTGGTGCAGTTAACATTGCCAATAGGATCTTCTTTTGTCAGCTCTAGATGCCTCCGATTTAAGAAGTGTTGTTTCTGGTTAACTTTTAAAACCGAAATGATTACTAAAATAAGAGTTAGACCCAAGAAAAGCCTGAAGCGCGAGTTGTGGCAAAACCGTAATTTCCTCTTCAGCATTTCAAATACCAAGTAGCTTTGCAGGGCTAAAAAAAATGCCCTCCGCTCTGCTCATATCAGCTTCAACAACTTCAGAAAAAACAGTTTGTGTTCCTCAGGAATTTGGTGAATTTGTCAGAGAGATGGAAGGAAAAATCCTAAAATAAAATGAAATATGACTGTCATTCAAAGACCAAAAAGGTTTCTTTAAAAAAACCAAACCATTTATAATAACATTGTTATTTTGTGACAATAAAAAATTGAATAGTTCAGTCAAAAATATTCTGCTGAAAATAAGAAATTAATGAATAAAATTGTTTTTCTAGAAAAAGATTGGGAGAGGCAGATAGTTTCCATGAGACACTATTTCTGTAGTACTAAGACTACAAACCAAACTTAGTAAGAAAACAGAGCTGATTAAGCGGGATCTGACAAAAGAAAAGCCAGTAAGTCACATACATTACTGAGAAGCAAGTATTTGATGTTAATTCGCACTTCAGAGTTTGACAAGAATGTTTTATACTCGCTTCAGCAGTGACACAGATTTCATTATAATTATAACTTACCACTCACTTCCTGGATGCTAGCCATGCTTTATCGTCTCACCAGGAAAGCAGTCCCTGAAGCCTTTTGAGATTGAGATACGGTCTCTTCAACGTCCTGCAGATGAGCTCAGAGATATCATCAAGAAAGACCTGATGAGAAAGGGAGAAAGAAATTAGTATAGCATAGCTCTTCAACTTTCAGAGTTCTGAGAACAGCTGTGACTGAATTGCTGAAGTACCTTTTTAAGGTAAAAGGCAATACTTATGGCCTATCTCTAAAGCTGATTTGTGTTAAGTCATTGCAAATGGACGAATCTAAGAGCACAGCAGTGTTGTGTTACCATCGGTTAAACACACGTTTTTATGATACAGAAATTGCTTTTAAGTGGAAATATGCTGCCAGGTTGATTGCAACAAGATTTATAATATGCCAATTTTATTTTCATCTTTATTTCACAGGCACTACATCATTTTAATTTATTAGCCTGTTTCCCCTTAAGCAGTTTCTTTCTGTTTCAGTATTCTATGAAGGGATCACTGCCTGGTTATGCAGCTGCTACAGCTATAGTTGCTGAGAAAACTGCAGTCTAGAACTGGATTACAGAGCTGGGTGTCTTTTTTTGTAGGTACTACCTTATGCAGGAAACTAATCAATAAAAGAATAACAGAATAACTCAACTTACACTGCCACTCAAATGCCATTTGTACTCACAAATTCATTGCCTAGTAATTCAGTGCAGATTTGAATTTCAAACCAACCTCTAACTGCAAAAGCCAATAGAGTTTATAGAGAGTGCCTTCCAAAATTTTAATCTGTAAGTTAAAAGGTTAATGAAATATTGAATTATTTGAGACATGTACAGCTCCTTTCATTGTTACTACTTTTAAGAAAAATTTAATGCCTCTGGATAACTTTCTGAACAGCTTTGAGAATAATTGCTACTCCCAAAAGCTGGTAAGAAAATTTAAGAAAAAGAAGTGTGCACTGTGTCCACTTCTGGGTTTTGCTGCAGACTGTTCAGTGTAGGGTTTTTCTTCTTTTTTTGTCTCTTTTCTTTAAGCTACCTCAATATCATTTTAGCTTTTCATTCTCAAACTGTTGCTTTTAACGTGCTACTTGCAAATCTCAGAACAGTAATGCTGGTAGTAATGTGCCCACAGCATTGCAAACTGACTGCAGGAATTGATCCACCTGTAGTAGGTGGAGGGTAAGGTCTGGCTCACTGCACGAATGTCTAGCAGAGCTATAGGGATCAGCAGTATTTTAAGGAAGTACAATAACCAAATATTTTGTCATTCAAGCCACCAACAGGCAGAGGCCACAAACTATTTGTGACTAACGCATTTAATAAACACCTTATTTACTATAAAGTGTACTTTGTTTTCAGAGTTACGCCTGTAACTATTTTATCCTGTGTTTCTAATTTATCTTACGGGGTGGGCATTTGTTCCAAGTCTGGTTTAGGCGTATAGTGAAGGCAAACTGGAAGAACTAAAATTTTAACCCTTAAGGGATGGGCCACCTTATAATACCCGGAAAGCGAGCGTGCAATCGTTGTACGTCTCCAATACTAGCCAGGTGAACTAGTGTGCAATTGCAGCTGAAAGAACAGAGGTACCTTCTAAGTATCATGTCTCACACTTTGAATTTGAATTAAAAAATTTAAAAGGGAAACTCTTCAACTATCACTTTTAGCTCACAATGTGACATCAAACATATTTAAAAGGGAAACTCTTCAACTATCACTTTCAGCTCACAATGTGACATCAAACATGACATGATTTAGAGCAAGTTTTAACATGCTTTATAATTGCACACTTGCTTACTGACATCCTCTAGTTTTGACTAGTGGATCTGATCCAATAAAAATATATCCATCACATATGAAATTAACAAAGGAAGGATAGTTGCTATGTGGTAATCTCCATAATCTCTACTGAGTATATACTTCCATAGGATATAACTTGTGATACCGGTTACCCTTAAATTACTGTCTTCTGGCTATCAACTCAGAACTTAAGACTACACATACATTTGTGAAGCTTTAGCTGACAGAACATGGGATCATTCTTTCTTTAGGATGAGTGTTAGCACTACTATTTTATCCTATTCTCAGTTTTTATAGGAGGACTGGCGTTGTGGAGTAACACACAGTTCAAGAGGATGGCCACCCCCTCCCTGTTCTTTACAATGCAGGCACACTTAATCAAAAGCTATCACTGAGGTCTTTACCCTCTATGATTTCAGAAGAATAAAGCTTACTAAGAAGTATTTCCTGCTCCTGTTTTAGAATAAAACTTAGATGAAAGCGAGTATTTCCTGCTCCTGTTTTAGAATAAAACAGATAAAAGCAGGATAAAGAATCTCTTTCAGAAAGGCCTTGTATACTCAGCCCCATGGTGTGGATATAAGGGTCCTTACTAATAGCACCGCCATTTCATGCTGCACCTCCAGCCCTGCCTGTCTGTATAAAACCTCCATGTGAACTTTGGTCTCCCACCAAGCTGTGGTATAATCACGTAAAAGGTCTTATTTGTTTGGGTTTTTTTCTCTGAAGACTTACGTTTCTTTTGGGATTTTCTGTTTGTTTTTAAGGATGGGTGAAGCCAAACTTATCTAAAATCACATGCTAAGCTGGGTGCAGAAAAGCATTGCTCCCTCTTGTCCATGGCTGCAGCCTTTCTTTGATGAAGTTTATTCCTCTTAAGCTACTTTGGCATCCGTACCTACGCAGTCTATTGCTGACTTGCTTCAGTCAGTACCATGGGTCAGATTAGTAATTTAGCCTGTTGGGTTAACAACATTTTATATAGCTGGTTTATATCCTATGAAAGAGGATGTTCATGAGGGTGCAGGGAGGGCAAAGTGCCACTACACCAGTCCTAACGAAGGCCAAGTGCCTCACCCCATCAACAGGGAAACCAGCCTTTGGCCACCAACACAGCAGACCTCTTCAGTGCAGCTTCATGGAACAACTGGTCCGATACCATGACATGCTGCTGGTGGAAGGAGCAGCCCTTCTCCCATCTCTGCTGGCCGCACGCCAGACTGGGAGGAGTATGGCAGCAGATTCAGTGAGCTGGCCTCTCTGGCGATCTGTCTGCGTTCAGCCCTCATGGCTGCCGCCAGGGCCTCAAAGGCACGAATCATTGAATGGTTTGGGTTGGAAGGGACCTTAAAGATCATCTTGTTCCAACCCCCCTGCCCTGGGCAGGGACACCTCCCACCAGACCAGGTTGCTCAAAGACCCATCTGGCCTGGTCTTGAACACTTCCAGGGATGGGGCCTCCACAGCTTCCCCGGGCAACCTGTTCCAGCGTCTCACCGCCCTCACAGTAAAGAATGTCTTCCTAATATCTAATCTAAATCCCCCCTCTTTCAGTTTAAAACCATTACCCCTTACCCTATCGCTCCAGTCCCTGATGAAGAGTCCCTCCCTCCTGTAGGCCCCTGCAGGTGCTGGAAGGCCGTTATAAGATCTCCCTGGAGAGTTCTCTTCCCCAGGCTGAACAACCCCAGCTCTCTCAGCCTGTCCTCACAGGAGAGGTGCTCCATCCCTCTGAACATCTTTGTAGCCCTCCACTGGACCCACTCCAACAGGTCCATGTCTTTCTTGTGCTGAGTACTCCGAAGCTAGACATAGTACTGCAGGTGGGGTCTCAAGAGAGGGGAGTAGAGGGGCAGAATCGCCTTCCCTGATCTGCTGGTCACATTTCATAGAATCATAGAATCATAGAATGGTTAGGGTTGGAAGGGACCTCAAAGATCATCTAGTTCCAACCCCCCTGCCATGGGCAGGGACACCTCCCACTAGAGCAGGTTGCTCAAGGCCCCATCCAGCCTGGCCTTGAACACTTCCAGGGATGGGGCCTCCACAGCTTCTCTGAGCACCGTGTTCCTGTGCCTCACCACCCTCACAGTAAAAAATTTCTTCCTGATATCTAATCTGAATCTTTTTTCTTGGCTTTTTGGGCTGTGAGCGTACATTTACCCTTTTATAAGATTATACCTTGATGGCTTCAGCCAGTCCCCTGTTGGCTCCCCCGTGATCCTCACAGTGCTGTCAGCCCCTGCCTCAGTGATGCCATGGCAGGGCTGGTCTCCAGCCCCCACAGCTTGCCCAAAGGCCTTAACCGCTCACCACGCCACAGCAAACCCAGGTTCCAGGCCTGCCGGCACCTGTTTGCACTGGTATGGCTGAAAGTGAGAGATGGGTCTTTCCCGAAATGAGGTGAAAAGCAGCGGCAGTCTCTACTCAGTATTACTCTAGGGCGGCACTTTGCTGGAGTCACAGCGTTGGGATTGGGATAGCAGGATTCTCGGTCCCCAGGAGCTGCAAAGCCTCCCTCCCGCCAGCTCGCATAAAACACACCACCCTCCTCTGTCCTGGCTGAAGGAATTTAGAGAGCAGAGCGAAACTGCAAACCAAGTAGGTTTTTTTTTTTTTTGTGTTTAAGCAATAACCATACGTTTTTACCCTAAGTACATTTTTCCTTGGAAAAAGCATCTAGGGCTTGCTGTGAAATGGTACAAAGACCCATCTCATGATAAGATGAGAATCGTTAGGGGCTGGTGGCACAGGAACCAAAGAAAATCATGTGTCTTGTAATTTTGGCACTTCTCACATCAGTGGAAAAACTGTTGAGGCAAGATGTTAAACGCCGATTTGCCATCCAAAAGGAAGCAATGTAGCGTGCAAAATACACCATGGGCCAGCATCAGCACCAGAAGTTCAGAAGGGGGTAGGTACAGGGTAAGAAAGTACTTTGGGGTACTTCAGCAGCCTGTATATCTTGTGAAAGACTGATAGAAAGGCCAGGAAGGAGTCTAGAGTTAGTTAGCATCCCAGAGGCTGTCATGTATATCTTGTGAAAGACTGATAGAAAGGCCAGGAAGGAGTCTAGAGTTAGCATCCCAGAGGCTGTCGGGAGGTCAAAACCAGTTACAACAAGAGCAGAGAAGATCCCATAGGCCTTGCAGGCTTAGCTGCAATGTTCTAGCATCACAACTCTCTCAGCTTTGTGGGCTGCTGAACCAAGGCACACCTGGCTCCTTCCCTTAATTTTTCTTCCTGTTCTGCTTCCCCTAACAAATACCAGACATTGATGTTTGCTCCCTTGTAGTTGCTTTGGTGATTTTTGGTATGCTG